ATGGGGGAGGGAGGGGGAGGGGGCGGTAAGTAGTAATGGGGGCGGTGAATAATAAATGAGTTTGTTTTACCAACCCTAGTCCAGCTCATGATTGCAGAGGGGACCTCATGTCGACCACTAGATGTCAGCTGTCTTTCTTGTGGAACAAATCTCACATATCTTTCTTGTCCCCCACAAGATCTTACATAATTAAACTCTCCAGATCTCATGACAATGCCAAAAGATATCACGTATCACTTCGTGCTAAAATATCGAGATCTCATGGATCTGTCGCCTGCTGCGCTGCAAGAGACAATTCCAACAGTGCTGAAGATAATTCTCTTGTTGACAATTCCAAAAGACATCATGTATCACTCTGTCCTAAAATATCGAGATCCCATGGATCTCGGCTGCTGCGCAGCAAGATACGATTCCAGCAGTGCTGAATTCTCTTGTTGATGAAAGGAATGAAGGCGTCAAAGATTACGAAAATCAGGATCAATCTACTTCTACTGACGATCAAGTTAAGGTAAACCTCTCGCATATCCTATAACATAATTCTTCACATTAAAGATTCCTAGCCAAATTTCAATCAGTTGGGAAACATAACAAATCCTAACAAGTAATTCTCAGATTTTAATTCATGTCTGGAACTCCAAGAGGGGATGAAGAGTTTTCGAGAGGGAAAATAAAAAATATAGACGGGAAATTATCAATTTCAAGACTAAAATACAGCATTGATTCCGAGTTGGATAATGAAGTTCCATTAAAAAAAATGTCTCATAGATAGTTAAATAATAAATACCCTGGACTATTTTTTTTTTTCGTGTGTAATTCACCAAAACCACGGCATTTCAGGTTCAATTTTACCCAATCCCCCACCAGATTTTAACGGACCAGCACACAGTGTGGAGAGTAGGCTCAAATTCTCCACATTTGAGACACCAATGGAAGTAAGTCAATGCAAAAGTATTCAATTGAATTTAAATAAATATATAAATAAAGAGCACAACAATAAGCATTTCAGAATAGCAGATGTTAAAGGAGGTGATGCAGCACCAGCATACCCTTGAAAATTTAAGGTCTAAAAGGATGTAAAAACTCATACCACTGAATAAGAAACAAAAAAAACGATGAACAATGAAGAAAAATAGGAAAGAAGTAGAGCTCAATCATTGTCAACAAAACAAACCTAAAGCAGGCTTCACAGATATTTTCTGGCAAGTCCTCGGACTTTTGTATCGAAATGTGATGATGTAATACGGCTTCCAGAAACGTAGAGCGGATTGAGAAGAGTCTGAAAATAATATCAAGAGGCATTTGTAGTTAAAATTTCAAAAACAAATAAATTAATAAAAAGATGGAATTACATAAAATTTGATCTTGTACATCAATAGTGATGTACAAGATCAAATAGAAATGCACCTTGGAATTATGTGAGAAATTTTAGGATAGATATTTTGCAACAAGAGACAGAATAACTCTGACAAAATCTGAATAGCAAAATGAAAGAATAAATCTTGCAGATTCGACATACAGTTTCTGGTAAAATTAATCAAAAAACTAGGAAGCATATAGAAAGAAGAAAAAGCGCCAAAAATCTTTATGCAGTTTCCACGTGTACTTCCACATGTACGAGAAGCATGTGAACAACTGACCTTGATATAGAGCTCGTGAACCTCTTGGAAGAAGCTCTTGATTCCATCATCATTACGGGAACCGTGAAGCAGCATCAGTCGAGTATGTAACACTTTTATTGATTAAAGAAACAAACAAATAAAGACACATTGAAAGTTCACACGGACATGCATGACAGAAAAATATATTCAGCAAATGAAACTCAGAAAGAAAAAAAGGTGGGAAGCATCAAGTACAAATGAAATAGAAATAAATCACAGTTATAAAATATTACTACTCCTATTTATACAGTTCTACTAAGTGATATCAATTGAAAGCAAGATCATGTTTAGGTAAGCAACATGCAAACAACTAAATGAAGCTTACAAGTATCCAAATAAATGAAGCTTCCTTACGTGAAATAGTTTCATATGCCACAGGTAAAGGTTGTGCCAACCACCAAAAAGGGCAATAACAAGTCATTTAATCTTAATTTGATCATTTAAATGTGAAATAGGTTTATATGCCACAGGTAAGGTTGTTCAATCAACCAAAGATGGAACTAACAAGTCATTTAATCTTAACTTGATGTGACCCTAACCAAATTACTAACTTGGGATTAACAGGAAATTTTGAAATTTCCATGGGTAGAGCATATTGAAGGTTGGAGGGATTAACAGGAAGTTTATGTATTTTATATCCTGAAACATTTTTTTATGAAGAGCTTTACTGGTCTGGTCATCTCTGGGCATGGGTATAACTACTGAATTCTAAAGGCCGAAGACAGAAAAAAGAAAGTCTTAAACTCCATTCAAAAATAAATTGCAGCAACCCCAATGCATACAATCTTGGACGGCATCTGTCTAGCTCTTTGAGAGAAATAACAAAAAAACGACTCAGTTTCATCAAATTAAGATACAAAGAAATTATCCTGGTCATCACTCATCATCCATTAATGCAAAATGTCAAAAATTATTTGATTGTATAATATCATTCTGCCATTTCCTCAAAAGCATAAAGCACCGTATGACAGAGTTCAAAAGAAAAGGATATGACCAGCAGTCACATAAATCGATACCACCAAGTCGTCGAATCTGTCAATAGCTTTTAAAAACCTGATTTATAGGACCAGAAAACTCAGAAATATAATATTATTGCTCAAACGACATTTTTGAAGTACACCATAGTGCAACATAAGTGTAATACACAGTGCTTATTGTAAAGAGCTCACATAGCACCAGTAGTCCAAGCCATGTCTTGAACAATGTCTAAAGCCGCATGCAGTATGAACTGGTGCTGATGAGCAATGTCTTCTCTCTACCATAAAGTCGATTACATGTTTATCAAATAAAATCACAAACAAGATACGTTTCCATAAAATTCATGAAAAATGCAAAACTAATACAAAATTTGAATGAGGAAAATGGACATACTTTGGGGACAGAACCAACTTCAGCTTCATAAATTGGGATGTCATTTTTGCTGACAATCATAAAGCATGCAGTATTTGCCATCTCTCTCTCTCTCTCTCTCTCTCTATCTATCTCTCACTTCTTCAGAATAGCTTCTCAGCTGAAGATAAAATTTGATGAAAATGTAAGTTAACATTTATTTGGGCAACAAAAATGCAGGAAATAATGGAATATTAGCATTTCACATAGCATTCATTGTATGGCTAAAAATCTTAGTTCAACAGGAAATTCCTTGTGGGACAAAAAATACACTCATACACCCACAACAGAAATAAATAACCATTGCAGGAGAACATAAAGTGATTTCTAAGTTAATCAGAATATCATGTTATTATGTAGGGTAAACCTGGTTATCACAATTTTTTTTCCCCAGAGAATAAACTTACACCAAGAATCCAGGATAAAGAAAGGTGAAAGGCTGATTTTCAAATTTAATAAGAAAGTCAGCTGAATATCATACAGCATAAACTGATTTACAGAACAAGCCCAATTTAAACCTTCATTGGGAAGAGGACTGGGGGTTGTTGTTGGAAGGGAAATCAATCTCATCCAAATAAACTTGCCAAAAACTCTTCTGAATGTGAACATCTAAAGCACCGTAATCACCAAGAATAACAAAAGAAGACTACAAACAATCATTAATTATTCTCCGAAGCCTAAAAGATGAAACACATCCAAAGGAAAAATAAAGGCATCCTATTTAGTACCAAGTTAGTCAATTAACTTTCAAATAATCAATCAAGCACATCACCCCCATAAATCCAGCGCCATCAAGCTCAACCAACAGTTTTAGCCTCAGCATAATCCATAAAATTACCATTACACAACAAAGAACGAAAACAAATGATGAATTTCTCAATTGGGACACATAGAAGGAAAGAACGTCGGAATATTGTATATACCTTGGCTCGACTGGCCTGCCTAGGTATAGGGCTTTCAGAGGAATCTCCACAAGGATTTTAATTCAGGCGGCTATGAAGAAATGAAATTAGGAAAAAGGAAAGGATTCGTTCACTAATAATTTTAAGAACTGGAATTTGTCACTAAATGTTAGGGTTGATTGTTTATGAAANTTTTTCCCGGAACGATAGATGATATTATAAATCAAAGTGCACAAATGTGCGAATACACAAATACAAAGCAGCCAACGGCTGAAAAAGTGGGAGGACATGTCAGAAGGCCGCCTAGAAATCCGCCGCTAGCAAAGCTAGACTAACAACACACCAAAAACTACACAAACAAAAGACTAAAAATGATCCCACCAGGATAATACCCGAGTGTCTGATCCCAATGGGATAATAAGATGACACTCAGGCTCACAGGGGTCAACGACCCAAACCAAAAATACATGCCCTAAACAATACAATCACATACCAAACTAACAAACAAAAAGGAAAAAACCACAAAAAACAAAAAACACTAATCAAAACGAAACAAGCCCTTCCTAAGCAGCAAAATCAAGTAGAGCCGGTGGATACCGAGTCGATCCAAAATGAGTCCCACAGCCAAAGAGAACCGACCCGAAACTGCCCAAACACCAACTCGGTGGCCTAACGAAGTCAAATCCCAAGCCCCAGAACAACATCCGAAATCAAACTCGAACCGTGACCTCAACACCCAAGATGCCTCAGGACCACCACGTGACCGGGCCCACTAACACCACTAGCGGGTCCAACCAACCCGGTAAACCCCCGAACCACAAAGAAGCCGAGGTTGCAGCCACGTCTCCGACCGCCCGAAGCCGCCACAATCCACCACCCACCACTACCCCACCTCTGCCATCACCACTGGCCGGAGGTAAAAGCAATGGTCCACCCCAGACCTAACACCAAAGGAAAGGGGAAGAAAGATGGAAGCGCAGCGGAGCTCCGGCCGTCCGAACACCATCGCTGCCGAACAACTGAGGCACCATCTACCCGACCGAATCCGCCGCAATCCTCCGCCCACCACAGCCCCGCCTCTGCCATCATTCTCTTAGTCATTCCATGATTGATATATTTTTTGGAAAGGAATGACCATTCTAATGGAAATAGCAAAACTCATCTCGATGGGATTAGCCATTCCATAGAAAATAGAAGGTTTTCTCATTTCCATGTGTGTAGGAATCAATTTTCAAAAAATAAAATTAACAAATAATAACAAAACAATAATATATATTATAAATCATGATTAAAATATATTAAATAAAATTTAAATAAAAAAATTAAAAACTTACTTTTATTTATTTTTTAATTAGATATATTAAATACTTATATAAAAATAAAACTAAAAAAAGCATTTATATATAATTTAAAAATATATTATTTTATTTTTATATATTATTAAAAATATATTATTTTTTATATATAAAAATATATTACTTCTAAAATATATTATTGAAAAATATTAAAAATATATATTATTAAAAAATATATTACTTTTTATTTTTAAATATTATTAAAAATATATTATTTTAAAAAATAAAATTCAAATAAAAAATTGAAAATTTACTTTTATTTATTGTTTAAGGAAAACTATAAAATTCAAATAAAAAATTCAAATAAAATTCAAATATATCATTCCATTCAAGTCATATTCCTTCTGCATACCAAACGCATCAATGACAAAACTTGTTTCATTCTATTCTCATAATTATTTCATTCTTCAATTCATTCTATTCCTACAAAAATCCATTTCATTGTACCAATCATGTCATAAGAGTTTGGATTGAGGAATTTATTGAGGGATTTGAAATCCATGGATTTCAAATTTATAAGTTCAAATTCTTATGCATGCCGGGATGGTAATAGAGATTGAGGGTTTCAAATTCACGCTAGATAGATTTTTAGTCATTATTTGAAGGATTTAAAACAACTCCTCAAACCTAGTCATTTAAAATCCAGTGTTTATTCCAATTTCCATCGTTGACAACAACGTCGTCCGCGATCATTTAGATTCATCACCACCGCAAGTCAACACCATCGGTGCGAGCTAGACAATGGTTTTATTATCATTTCAACAAATTCATTCAAGGAGTGTGCAAATAGAAATTTTATATTTTTGAAATTTTGAAATCAATGAATTTCAAATTCCTCCAAACAAATGTAGCCTAAAATAATATTTAAAATAAAAGGATTAAAATTGATTTGATGTAAAAGTAAGAGATAAATGATTGGAAATGATAGGTAGTTAAAATTATGTGAGTGGATGAATAGTGAATTAAAATTGATGTGATGTGTAAGAATGATTAATTTGTATTATTTAATTATATAAATAATATTAAAGATAGTGAGATTGAGTAAAAGTGATTTAGATTTTAAGTATGAAATAAAGTTGAATAAATTATTTCATAAACATTCAAGCCCTTAAATTTCTGTTGGGGTTCAAATTAAGCCTTATTTTTTATACAAAGAAAGATAATGCTTGGAAATATTTTTATTTTTAGAAATGTTATAGGTACATAATATAGTACATAGAAGTGTACATAATACTCACATTAAGTGGGTCCTACTAAAAAAAATCATTTGGACCCACTCTATGTGAAGTTTATGTACACCTCTATGTACATTTATTATGTACTTGTAGCATTTTTCTATTTTTTTTAAGTAAAATGTTCTATAATCTATTCTAAAGATATCTTTCTACATCTATTATATAAAATAAGAAGAAGGAGGTGAAATTATCTTTAGAAAGAGTTTCTCGTCAAAATCATTAATTACATACTTAAAAAAAGGTAAGTTTTATACTCCCTCCTTTTATTAATAAACGTCGTTTTGAGAAGTTGCACAATAATTAAGAATAAATTTTTTGTCAATAATAACCCTCATTAATGAGGATAGAGATAGATGTTTTGAGAAAAGATGAATAGTGAATATGAAAAGACGTAGTGTATTTATTAGCTAGATAAGGGTAATAATGAAAAAATATGTACAAAAGATCCATAACGTCATTTATTTAATTAATTGTTGATAACGCCAAAATGACATTTATAAGAAAAAGGAGATAGTATTGTTTTTAAGTGTTTTCAAATAAAAATAAAAAGAAACATCAAATGCATTCCCATAATCTTGGTTGTTGTTTGTCATGTCATATTTTCGGTTTTTGTTGTAAAAAAATATTCTCGAATTCTGTGTTGTGTATATTTTGAATTTAATTAAAAATCAAACTATTTTAATAACATCATAATCTATTCTTTTATGGTAACGATTTTGTTGAGTGTATTTTTTTCATTCTAGCAGATTTTTTACTATCACCAATTAAAAAATAAAATCTCATTCTAATTCTAGACAATACATATATTTTCTATTTTTTCTTTACAAACAAAATTTAAAACTGCAATACAATTGGACATGTTATATTCTAAAGATTATTTTTATAATTTTTTTTTTGTTTTTTTTTTTATAAAAATAAGCTATAAAAGTGCGATATAAGTAACTATAACATTTCAACCATTTTCATGAAAAACATAACAAACTTCTTTTTGAATAAATAGCATTCAAATTTTTAGGATTATTTCCATGAAAAACATAACAAACTTCTTTTTGAATAAATAGCATTCAAATTTTTAGGATTTTAGGATACAAGAGTAGTATTCAAACCTATCCTTTACATATACAAAAGATATATACGATTTCCACATCTTATCCCATGCAAAATGAAATATAGGTATGCACAAATCAATTTACTTATGAAACATTTTTTCCGTAAAATAATGTGATTTACATGTCCTCCGTTCCATTAGTTAATTTTGAGCTACAAATAATAAAATATCTTCTTCTTCTTTTTTTTTATAATTATTTTTGTGAATATTGTTTTACAAAAGATACAACCGGAATTCAAAATCTCTGGTAAAACACAACAAAAACAAAAGTGTTCTAAATATTGGAATGGAATTGCTACAAAAAATGAGAATGGTTGAGAAAAGAAAAGATATACTCAAAATCTACAGTTCAAGGTAACAACGTTTCTTATATCCCCTATAAAATTAAACTTCACCTGATAAATCATATCTTTAGTATTTATCACAATATTACATATTTTCACTATAATTTTATTTCGTGTTGTGAGCATTCCAAAATTCAGCAAAGAATTAGAGGAAGGAGGTGTCTATGCAATTCGCAATTACCAAGTGGAGAGTCGTCTTGGTAAATTGCTAACCAAGCTGAATTTGGACTCGGGTTTGGACTAACCCATGTGACCTTCATTGAGTTCACTGAACATGGACGTGTCAAGCCGTTTTATGCCCATTTACTTGCCCTTAGTGGTAGCTGACCTTTGATCATCCTTTAGTGGTTAGAAGTCCTATAAATAGAACATGTGTAGAACAATACACAAGATCATCATCTGCATCTTACTCCCTCAAAGCCTCACGCATCATATCATAAGTGTGCTCAAGTTATCAATATTGTTCTAGTTTGTCGGAGCTCAGAAGTCTGGTGTGCTACTGCCTTCGAGACATCTATCATTGTACCTTTCGGGACAAGACGCATAAATCCGTCTGTACTATATGAGGCGTATTTGTATTGCAAAAAGAGTTATTCTCTTCTTGGTTTAAATCTTTGCGTTTTACGTTGTACTTTGTAAAAATTGAACACTTCGGTTCGTATGTTTTCCGTGTATTCAACACTACAAACAAATTGTTATATTCCAACGGAAAATCCTATGATAATATATTTCAAGGGAAATTCCAACGGATATTCTAATGGTATAGCTTCCGTTGGAATGATTCTAACAAAAATAGACATGGCCAGTCAACGGGTCCGGACCCGGCCTGGCCTGACGACGGACCACAAAAGCCTGGCTCTGGACCGAACCGGAGATTGCTTAGGGCCGGGTCATCGGACCAGCCCGGTCCCGCCGGTTTATAAAAAAAAAAATAAAAAAAATGAATTGTTGCCCGGCCTCCCTCTCGGACCGGACCGCCGGGACAAAAAAAAGAAATAGGCCAACCGGGACCGAACCGCGGCCCTTGCGGTCCGGTTAGATGAACCGGCCCTTACGTGGCCGGTTCAGGGCCGGTCCGAGACCGGTTTCGGTCCGGATCGGCCCGTGGCCATGTCTAAACGAAAATATTCCGTTAGAATGTATTTTTGATTGGAATTTTAGATAGAATTTGATGATTCCAACGGCTTTTGACTGTAGGAATTTCCGTTGGAATTTTTATTTCCACCACAGTTGGAAAATCTACCGCTGGAATCGTCAAAATCCAACGAAAATTCCAATTGAAAACTCATTCCAACATAATATATTTGTTGGAATTTTCGTTGGAATTATTCTAAATTTCCAACGGAAATAATAGCATTGAAATATTCATTGGAATTGCCGTTGGAATTCTGTTGGAATATATTTCCATTGGAATATCATCATTTTCTTGTAGTTGAGTGATCACATTTAAATAAACGAAATAATAAATGAGAGGAGATGGATTGTTGGAAGTAACCCTACTATATTCGTGAATGATTAGATGTGAGCAATATTTTTCAAAGGTCATAATATACATTGCAAGAAGCACACATGCCATTCATAAGAAAATAAAAAGGTTGAAACATTCTTTGCCAAATTCCCCTCCAACCCATGTTCGGTGATGCACAAATTTAGACACAATACTTTATTTGGACAAAGACATGTCCACAATACATATATGCATATAAATAGCGCAGTACCGCTATAATTCCTTCAGTGACAGTTATCACACTTACGTTTTAATAACTCAGTTTTGTTTTTTACCCCCGAAATAAACTACAGGAAAGAAAAATGGAAAGCCAAAGAGTTCCAGGGCAAGCTCAGGTAGTTTTAACTTTTAATTTCTTTGAGTCGTTTTTTCAATTAGCCCACATTTTAAAAAATAATTAATTTGGATGTGATTGTAGATGAGGAGAGATAACCCACCATCTGACACCTACAGCCAAGGCCAGACAACAAACTTCCTTGAAGAGGTAAATATTATTGTGTGAAACTTTATTCTAATTTTTTTTTTTCCTTTCAAGTTGCATTTTAGCTAGATCATTAAAATAAATAAATAAAAAATTACTCTCTATGGATTTTTTGTCAATGTGATTCATGTATTTAACCTTTGTCTTGATTACAAAATATAATACTCCACTCTTAAATTAAATATACATATATATCCTCAACACAATTCAAATACATTAATCTATTATAAATTTGGTGTGAAATAGACTGGAAAGCAGGTGAAGAACATGGGCCAAGGTGCGGCGGAAGTGGGCAAGGGGGCGGTTAACCTCGCCGCTAACATCACTCAAGGGGCCGTAGATGCTGTGAAAAACACAATCGGAATAAATAACGATAATAATTCTACAATCACCACTAGTAATCTACGTGGCGCCGGCGGCGGCAGTAGCACAGTCCCAAATCTCATGGATACCGACGCTGATGTGGCGGAATTGAGTTATCCAACCAACCACAACAACAATTAAAATGTATTTTTCCTTGTTTCGTTTCGTGCAGTTGTTATTTATTAATAGTTGAAATAATTTGTTGGAGAATTGGTGATCTATCTTTTGGTTTTATCTATTCTTCTTTTGTAGATTTTTGCCCAAAGTGGTTCAGTACCATGTTTTGATGTATTTCTTTAATGAAATAATGTCAAGTACTGTTTGTTAAGATATATCATTTTAATGGAAAGAACTAACTTCCAAGTAAAAAACGATAATGATAATCATCTATATCTATATTTTATCTATATATATATATATATACAGGGATGCGCTCCGGTGAGAATGATACTCAATGAAAGAAATAAGAATAAATCTTAGTCGTCGGATTGAATGATCTAATGGATTAAAAAAACACAGCATTTATACATTCATTAAGGTTCCGTTTGTTTTGAGGGATTTGAAATCCCTTGATTTTAAAAATTTTGAAATATAAATTTTTTTACTTGCACACTCCAAATGTGTTGAAAATATTATAAATAAATTGTCTAGCTCGCACCGATAGTGTTGACTCACGGTGATGATGAACCTAAATGATCGCGGACGGCGTGGTCCTCAACAGTGGATTTCAAATGACTAGGTTTAAGGAGTCATTTCAAATCCTTCAAAATAATGACTAAAAAGCATCTAACATGAATTTGAAATCCTCCAACTTCCATTATCATCCCAACATGCATGAACATTTGAACTTGTAAATTTGAAATCTATGGATTTCAAATCTCTCTAGTAAATCCCTCAAAACAAACGGAGCCTAAGGGTATTTCAGACATTTAATACATCAATAATACACCAATCCAGTAGACCCCACCTCAATTAACGTACCAACTGTCACACCTCCTCCAACTTCCATTATCATCCCAATATGCATGAACATTTGAACTTGTAAATTTGAAATCTATGGATTTCAAATCTCTCCAGTAAATCCCTCAAAACAAACGGAGCCTAAGGGTATTTCAGACATTTAATACATCAATAATACACCAATCCAGTAGACCCCACCTCAATTAACGTACCAGCTGTCACACCTCTCTCTCTCTCAATCTCTCTCACTTCCACCCACCCCCGTAAAATTTGGTCAAGCTCACCCACTCTCTCTCTCTCTCACTCACTAACACACATGCACACGGCACACATATACACACACAGAGCTCAACATTCCCAGTCGTCCCTCTTCCAACAGTCCGCCGGCCGCAGCCGCCGTGCCTCCACAAAAGCCCATCTACCTGCCGATCTTCACTTCTCCCATCCTTTCCGCCGCCCCACCTCCACACACGCTCCTCTGCCCAGCCATCGCCGCCGCAGCACGCCACTGCCGGTCGCCAGAGCCCACTGCCTGTAGAAACTTTTTAGTAGAGATTTGTGGGTATGTGGTAACCGAGTTACCCGACTCGGGTCGTTCTCTAAGGAAGGCTATTCGGAGCTTCGGTTGCTATTTAATTGTCCAAAAGCACAAAACGAGAAAAATAAATCCTGAACATCCTAACCAATGATTTGAGGTTGATTATAACTAGATTAACTAAGGAAATAAACAACGAGCAATTATACTAGAAACCCTAGCTTACTAAACCGGAGAACCAAAAATCAAGTAAAAATAGCGAAAACAAAAGAAACGAACTTCATCTACTACACTTAATAGTTAAAGCCGAAAGTTCTACGACGAAATAACCGAGCTCAATAGCAAAGTCACGATGTTTCAAGTAGAAATTCACACTTCAACAAACTCAAGCATAATAGACAAGCTCAAAAACAACGAAACCACGAAAAATAACTAAACGAGCAAACATAATCCAATAAACGAGTAAGCCCTACTCACTTCTACTAGCTAGATAGCAAATAGGTGCACAATTCAAAAGTATAAGTCTTAAAAGTAAGTACTCACATTCCTAGTGCATGCTTAGTCGAGATCGGAGTAAAAAGATATAAACTTGCATAAAAACAAGAGTCGCCGGAAAAAGTTGCCGGAAAAAAAGTTCACCGGAAAAATACTAAACTAGAGAGAATCTAGAGGGAATTCTAAAAACAAAAACATTACCAAAAAGAGTAAAAGTTGCAAATGAAATCTAGTGTCTCAAATACAAAGGGCCAAAACATATATATAGTCCAGCTCCAAAAACACACAGTAGAAACACGTAGATTAAATGACACACTCTCGAGCTCGCCGGGACTTCCGCGGGTCGCGGACGTGAGATGACGTTATCTGGCTCGAGGAATGCACGGGACCGGCGCGAGAGAAAACGACACTCTCGAACTCGAGGGCCAGCCCGCGCGCGCGGATGGAGGGTGGAGTAGTACTCTCGATGTCGCGGCTCAACTCACGCGCGCGGACACAGGTGAAGGTGCGGGGCACTGATGCTTCGCGAGGCGCGGGCGTCGGCTCGAGAGCGCGAGTGTGATGGCGCGGGGCACGGATGCTTCAAGAGGCACGGGTGTAGGTTCAGGGCGCGAGTGTGGCTATCTTTGAGGACTTTCGATCGATTTTTGGCTCGAAATCTTCGGAATGGACTAGCTAAATGGTTCGAAAATTCTCGAAATTGACTCGGAATACTTGGAAGTCTCGTCTCTCGGGACTCGGTTTGACTCTTCTCATCATCCTCAGGAATAAACCTGAAAATACACCACGAAATACGAAAAAGTACGCCAAAATATAAAATAAAAAGAAAGACACAAAAACACACGGAAAACGATAAAATGGACCGGTCAACGCTAAAGCAATCCTAAAACCGACTCAACTATGCGCAAGAAACACATAAAAAGAACACAAAAACACAATAAACAACTCCCCCACACTTAGCTCTTTGCTTGTCCTCAAGCAAACAAAATGTTAAGTAGTTCAAAAAGAAATGTCAAATGGTCCAAGGTTAACAAATATGCAATAATGAGATTCTCATTTTCCTCCGGTAATCCAAAGAATCAAACTCAAATTTGTAAACAAGTTCCCCACATATAAATCCATACAAAACAAAAACCCGTCCCAAGTCATCCTACACATAATTTTCTCGATTTAAGCTACCTTTTCAACATGTACGTGCAAAAACCTAATGCGGTCAACTCTAAATACAATAAACACGGACCAATAAGCCAACTCCCATTCGTTATTTGATTGCTTTTGCTCTTTTGTTTTTATTTCCCGTGAGTTTATTTTTCCGAACAAGGTTTCATAGACAATGCTTATCTAGGTTTAACCTCGAGGGGTCTCCTCGAGTTCTCTAGACCGGTTTCCCGGGATCATTATCCCATTTCACGAGGTGAATCGGGATAAGAGGAGCCTAGTCCGTACCTCCTCGCGAACTCACATTTGATTCCTTCTCTCTCTCTTTCTTTTTTTTTTTTTTTTTTTTTTTTTTTTTTTANAATTCATTCCAAAGGGAGAGGCATAAAATACATCAAAGATATAATCACATAACGCACACTCAATCTAGATGCACTACAAACGAATAGCATAACACGTTTACAATAATCGAACATAAGGCATGCTTATCTCAAGTCAATCAATCGAGACAATCAAGGGACAAAACAATTTCGTGAATTCGTATGCGGGTCCCACATTTAGCAAATCATCGTCCAATTCAAAGGTACCATCAAAATCATCGAATTCATAAGGCATAAATGTTAACAATGACGCCAATCAACATACTCAATTCACCACTTAACAATTTTGAACTTTCAAACGCACATCAAGCCTCATGAGGAGAAAGTCGAAAGTCGAAAGTCGACACAACCAAACAAAACAAACTAAAACAACCGGTCCACGACACAACTACACACACTAACCAACGAAAGAAAATCACATAAACGATCACGTAAACCAACATAATCAAGAAATCCTCCCCCACACTTCAAACAAAGCAATGCCCTCATTGCTTACCCAAGGATATGGAAAGAAACGAGATCACACAAGCTCAAAGAAATGAAACTACACAAAAGGAAAATAAACACATAACACATAAACAAAACAAAGAGAAAAAGAAAAAGGGAAAAGAAAATGCGTACTCCACGGTGACATCTCACCGTGTATCCATAGGTGTGTCGTCGGGAGGAAGGGAGGAGGAACCGGGATCCATGGCATGAGAATCCGGGTGACAAGTTGAGAATAGCCGTTATACCTCATGTAATGGAAATAGTCGAGAAGCAACAACACGAAACCACTGGAAGGAAATAGAATAATCGAAATCAAGAGCCGTTGAGTTGCCGAAAGTTGAGCTCGCGGTTAAGCTTGAAGGGGTTCGGGGCCGACGGACAATATGCAGTACTGAGGTCACCGGAAAGTTGGTTTGCTGAAAGCGGCTGAGGTGGTCGGAGGTCGGCTAACGGAACTCGGTTGTAGAGAGCTCAACTCGCGGAAAATGGTCACGTACACTGAGCTAGTGACTCGCCGCTGCGATTGGGAGAAGAGAGCTTGAGGGCGTCAGTGGTCACGGACACGTCGAGGTCGGAGTTGTGAGCGAGGTGGTCTGTGGCGTCGCCGTCGGTGGAAGGGGCCGGCAGCGTGCCCGCTAAGGTGGTGGTCGGTGATTGGAGATGCAGAGCTCGAAGGTGAGCGAGGGTCAAGAAAGCGCTGGAGTTGAGGTCGAAACGCCGTACGTCACGAGTCGCCTGGGGAGTGGGAGGTCGGTGATAGTGATCTACGGTGCGGGAGCAGCAGATGGTCGGATCTAGGGTTTTGGGAATTTGGGAAAGAAATGATCGGGNAAAAAGGAAGACAGAAATGGAGGGCTGGGGAGGTGCCACGCCTCGCGGAATTGGTCGAAAGCTCGAGAGTAGCAGTCCGCGGGCGCGCCAGGTTCGCCAGGCGGAAATGGCGTGGTGGAAGATGAGGGCTAGGGAAGGGCCGTGCCTCGCGGAGACGGTTGCGAGGTCGCGAGTCCCGGGACGCGACCCGCGGGAGCCCTGGCGTGCGCGACTTCGTCTATCCTATACTTAGCCGTATTTCGATTCTTTTCGCACTAAATCTTCGCCTCAACCCATAAACGCAATTCTAGCTCGATTTCACTCTTTTTTTTTTCTTAAATAAAAGAAAGAGAATAAAAGAAACAAAAAGAACGAAAACAAAAAGAAAGAGAAAATGAAAAGAAAAACGTGGGTTGCCTCCCACGAAGCGCTCGGTTTTATGTCGTGAGCTCGACAAAGCCGTCAATTCCTCAATAATTTGGCTCGTCGAGCCGAGAATAGAGTACTCGGATTTCCTTGTCTTCTC